CTAACTTAATGGAAACTTCTCCCAAACTGTTTGTTTAAAGGATCCACTATGCGTTGTCCTCTGCATGACGAGGTCCTTTCCTACATGAGGTCGGCGTAGAAAGCCGGGAGGCTTCAGGGCCGAACAAAATGTACGGCTGTTGTCTGCAACTGCAACCTCAACCCTCGAATTCAACGATTTATTTCTGACCTTGACCTCATGGCATCCATATTTATAAGCTCCATGAATAGTAAGACAGTAGATAGTCTGAGCAGGTACACGCATAGAACTTACCGTTTCTGAACATGCTGCCCTAGCAAAGATCCGAAGGATCATATATCACCGGTCTATCGTTGTGATTCTGTAGGTTCTGACCTCCTGGAAGCTCCTATCTATCATATTTGAGATATCCGGGAATGTACCCGAATCAGGAATTGACAGCTTACTTGCATCGTTCAGCTGTGTTGGGATTCATACCATCCGGTAGATCCCAGAGGCTGTGAGGGTGAGACGTTGTGCCTGATGCACTGTAACAAAGCCATGACCTTTATATTATACGATTTGATACACTGTAGGGCCAACGTATCTGAAATCAACACATTATCCTTGCGAATCACTGCCCTTTCCCAAGTATATAAACCCGCCATCCTAGCCTCAAGAAGATCTCTCCGTCCCACATCACCATCAACACTACACTCCATTGCGATTCCACACTACTATACTAAGATTACATCTTTTAATTCTTCTAAAAGCTACTGGCCCATCATGTGCTGGCTTACAAACATCACTTACAGCTGCAGACGGTGTCACACGTCGACAGGCGTCGGCCTTGACATTCGTCGGTGTGAAAAGGCTCGCAGGGATACCAAGACACATTGTGACTTAAGCGATTGCTCCGAAGTTGATCAGGACAGAAGTTCCCCGTTTGATCATTGCTCCATATGTATGGCCCAGTACAATGCCTGGCTGGCTTCAGGCAAATCATATACTCCAGAACCTCCGTTCTTCTAGCGACCAGGAGTTCCAATGGCATTTATCGAATAGAATTGATTGCAATGTACGGGCTGGGCACGTAGCGCTTGTTAGAAAGGGATTCATGAAAATCAGAGAGCTGGAATAAAGAGACTGGCACCACGGTAGCCTTGGAGAATAGCGATATATTTACGATATTTGTAATACATCGTGACTATGGCCATGACGGAACTCAATATGCAACACTTGGCTTCCAGAAGACTTCTCTCGTTATAGCGAACATAATGCCCGAAAATGCTAGTCTATCAAGGGAGATATGATGACTTTGCTTTGTGTATGCGCCAATGCGTCTCACTGTCAAACCCTGGCTACGGAATACCGTGAGACCTGAGTCACAGTATAGAGATCTTCATCCTAGAAGGTCGCATTCATCTTTGTGCTATTGTTACTCGCTTCTTCTTCCGACGCTGAAGGCTTTCCCTAGCTGTTGGCTGGAGGTCGGCTTCGCTGGGGTAATATTGTATGACGTTTATTCACTCAGTCTAGACTTTAGTTCTGGCCTAAAACAATGATTCACCGAATTTCAATTCATTTGCCACGAGGCCTTTTGATTGAATTCAAGCCAATGTGCATGTCATGATCCTGATCCCATGATATCTCACAGAAGGGTGACTATAAAGTCCAGCACTCAGTGTCAACTCAACCCTCAACAACAACCTTTTAGAACAAAGAATTCCTTTCCACCAACGAAGATATTGTGTGAAAGAACATCACCTACGCCAGCAATACCATGTGTATCCGCGAGATAATATACTGTACTGCCTGACAGAAACTTTAAAGTGGGTATACTGCCCATCATACTTAGGACTAACTAGTTCAACGACCTTCCATTCTCCGTCATTGGTGATCAATGGGGAAATGAAGACTACCGTGGGCGGCACCTTTACTCCCGAGACCTGCCCGAATCCAGAATGTCCTAGCAAGAAGCAAACTGGGGAGGGGGAAACAAAGGAAGTGGAGGAGAAAGGAATAGAGAAACAACCTGAATGTGACGAGGCAAATAAGGAGGATCAGGGGAAAGACACTGTGGCCTAATTTCATTTAATCAGTAAAAAGGTAGCACCGAGCTAGTTATATGGTTGCCCGATGTAGAGCTAAGCTGATACCTTCTGGATGATTCAGTATTCTTGTGTACGTATTGGTGGTTCTTCTAGTTGAGACATGCCCTAGCATAACTTGTCCAAGCAAGAAAAAGGAGGAGGAGGACAAAACATCGAAGTCAAAATCTTCATGTTGCAAGAATGACACGGTCAAAGTTTGCCCGCAGGGTATACTTGGCGATGTAATAGGAATAGAAATAAATACCAATTTAGCTCCAGAGCATTGTAGTACAGAGCCCGGTCACACATGGTTTAAAGCTAGTGCTTTATGGGCAGCGGAGCTCCATACATGTTGATGAAATGGACCTACGAAGTTCGTTATGCTTTGTGAGCGGAATTCCGTATATGAAAAGAAGACCTTATCCGACGGAACTCACCACGCCTCAACGTAGAGGGTGTCGTTGATTTATGGATACTGTTCGGCAGCTATCCTCTTCTGGTTATCCACAGGGACCATTTTATTCCACAATAAGAGTAAAATTCTTCCAATTCAACATGGTCCACTGGCTAAGCTCGCAGCCGCCGCCTCCAAGCTCGTCTTTCATGGCATCATGGTGACATATGCTGGCAACCTTCAAGGTTGAAGAGTTCTCAAGATTGCGCATCTTGACCTAGCTGCACCCTGAGAATGTACACCCAGTGCTATGTTATAAGTCGGCGTGCAAAAAATACTACTGTTCGTGATCTTTCTTCATTAGACTGTAGATGAGAGTCAATGGATAGAATGTCAAGCCCCAGATCTCTAAGGACAAAATGTTTAACCCCGCGTTGAAGCCGCTTTGGGAAAGAGTTTATCGGCGGTGGAAGAGAGTCTAACTTGACTGGGAAGATGGTTGTCCATGCCCAAGATACAGGCATGGTGAATGCCGTCATTGCTTATGCTAACGCGCGCCCTTCAGGTTATGAGCGTAGACGCCCTGTAAGTGCGCCCTTCATGTGATGACGGTCTACTTCGACGTCAATACCGTCTGTGCCAATTTCTTTTTTCCCAGGTATATAACTCTCTTTCCTGGAAGCGGAAGTGTTCTATACATCTCGAGTCGTCCCTTACATCAAAATGGCCACAAACACAATCGCACAGTCCGTCACGACATCCAGCATGAATCCGTCACGCCAAGGCGATGCTATGGAGATGTCTTCTTTGAGCCAGAGTCCATTCAATACTGATGAAAATACCGCACGAAATGAAGAAGAGCCACCAGAACACGCTATAAGTGCAATTCCTGATGGTGGATATGGCTGGACAATTGTCGCATCATGCTTCATTCTACTCTTTTGGATAAACGGATACACGACAGCCTGGGGAGTCTTGCAAGCTGCCATTGTTCAATCACCTCGACTTCATACTAATATCCGAACCATCACCTTTGTTGGGAGTCTGCACATGGCCTGCATGGTCGCGTTCGGCTTGATATCCGTCAGACTGTCAAGGGAGTATGGTATTCGAATCACCAGTGTCGTAGCGACGGTCTTCTTCGGGTCAGGTTTGATCATCACGAGTTTCACCCTTGAGCACTTGGCCGGGCTTTTCTGCATTGCTGGACTACTCGTCGGGTTGTCAACATCGCTGCTCTACACTGCGACAAACACCATGCCCACTCAGTGGTTCAGCCGTAAACTGGGCACAGCTAATGGAATAGTCAAAGCTGGAGGTGGTGTTGGTGCAACTGTGCTTCCTCTGGCGACACAAGCCATGATCGACAAGGTTGGACTTCAATGGACATTTCGAATTCTCGGTGCTTCGATTCTTGTGACAGGAATTCCGTGCGCGTTTCTCCTCACAGAGCTTAGGCGTGGTGGAACAACATCGAGATTTGACTGGTCACAGTTGAAGAGCATGCATTTTCTGACTCTCACCATGTCAGGGGCAGTCGGAGTCTTCGCTCTCTTTGTGCCGCCATTCTTCTTACCCGTATTCGCGAGGTCGATTGGTCTCTCTGCTTCAACAGGTGCTGGGCTTGTGGCGGGCTTCGGTGCATCCACAGCCGTCGGACGTCTCTTTGGAGGCTGGATCTGCGATCGCATGGGTGCTTTCAACTCTCTGGCCCTTGCAGCTCTTATCAACAGCGTATCGATGCTAGCAATCTGGCCCGTCAGTTCCTCACTGCCGCCACTCTTCGCCTTTGCCATCATCAACGGATGTGCGAATGGGAGTTTCTTTGTTGCACTGCCGACAGCTGTAGCTGCACTTGCGCCTGGATCAGCAGCTGCTTCTATTAGTCTCATGACGTCATTCTGGACGCCAGGATACTTGATGGGAGCGCCTTTGGCGGGGATCTTGATTGATGCTGCGGGCGCTTCTGAGGCTTCGTCGATTGAGCCGTATAGAGCGGCCATATTTTACGCTGCGGGTGTTGGATCTGCTGCAACGTTTTTGATTGTTTTGTCAAGGCTTATGTTGAGTAAGAAGTTAATGAAGAGGCTTTAGTTTCCATGGGTCTCCATGGCAAATCGTAGCTACTGATCGAGACCATCTGAGTCAATGAGTGATAGACATCCTTTCTGACAAGGTTTGTTGGCCCATCTGTGGAGCGCTAGAATAGTTGCAATCAACAGAATTCAACGTACCAATTGACCTCTGAATCATTGCCTCGCATCGCGTTCAATTCGTCCGGGTATATTTTCCATCACCCCATCATCTCCTCTTCCTTTCATCTTTTCACCTTGACAACACCATTTCTCTTTACCAGACTACCCATTGTCACTTTTAAACCATTTACGCTTCAATCATATACCATGCCGCCCACAAGCCCTCCAGTCCCCCAACCGAAGCCTAGCAACATTAATTTGAACTGCGAGAATGACCCTGTGACTATCTTGTGCAGAGAGATTGAGGATCTTACTGGAGAGATGCCCTGGCTTTAGTTGGGCACAGCGGCACCTACATCCATGGAACTTCCGTGGCTGCAGAATCTCCACCTCCTTCTCAGCCGAACTGTCATGGCCGTTGATCAGGGAGACAACTCCCGAGCTGATATGTCAAATGAAGTCAGATACACCCTCTTGTGTCTTGCCTATCGCCGCAAAAACTCTGGAGGAAGACATGTGATTACCAACGAGCACCTCACCAAGGCGACCCACTACTTTGACGTCCGTATGCTTACTCACGATTTGCACATGGCCAAGTCAGACAAACCAATAAAGCCTCCAGATGGCTTCACTCGCCTTTTCTTCGGTAATGAGAGTAGTGACGACGAACCCGACGCTCCTTCGCCCTCATCCGAGAATCAACAAGAGGCCAGCTCGTCGACAGCAACAAAGCGCAAGGCCTCAGATGATTCGACCAGCTCAGCCTCCATGCCCCAGAGTAAGAGGGTGTGATAGTCAGCTTCATGTGAGTATGGAACTACACAAAGCTTCTACCAATTCTCTAACGGCGGCCAGTCAAATCAGATCAGATAACAGCCTTTGAAGTGTCTGCATGGCAAAAAGAAAACAACATGAAAGCATATCCTCTTAAAGCAGAAGCGAGGTGGACGATATTGCAAAAGGGCATGATTCATTAATGGCGACGTTATGGGGCGGCTAGTGTCTTTGGTTCCGGATTCGTGCTTGTCACTGGACATGCTAGCAAGTTTTCGCTATTGATACACCAAGAGAATGGCCACTTGATTAATTCCCGATTTCGAGATCTAATACACATACGGTCTTTCACTATTCGCACTGTCGGACATACTCTCAGAGCCGCATTGAAGCCATCGCATCCATGCGGCACATTCATCTCTGATCCATCAGAGTCCATGCAATAGTTCCTATTTGCACATTGCAATGAGATTTGAACTCTACTCAGTTCTGACCCCATAATCAGTCAAAGTTAGCCACTCCATTATTAAATCTCGGGCAAACTACCCAAATGATAATCAACTTTGAGTAGTAACGCAAGAACAAATACAGCATGCTTCGATAAATCATCCTTCTTGCAATGATGGGACCAAGTGACAAGAATCAGGTGGCTGGGCACGACGCACTCTTCTTTCCTCCCCGTTTCTGGCTTTGAGACACAGTAACGATTTCTTGACTCTATTCTCGTCTTATATGACGCTTTCAAGATGCAGAACACATTCAGGGTCAATTTATCAGACGATACATCAACCTGAGAAGAGACTTTCATTTTCATAGAGGCAGATATTTAGCAAGCTTGATTTGTTTCTGACACGCCAGGGCTTCCGATTGGGGTATCAGATCGCAATGTGAAGACATTGGACAAATATTTCGGTTTCCGTGATGTCGACCAAGAACTTCGACCAGATCTCGGCACTGTTTTCAGCATTATTTCTACGTGTAAAGGGTTTACAGCACTGTCCATTCCATGACTCGTCACGGAAGGGCGAGATCACTGAGATGGCCGCGCTGACACTGTTCTCGACGACCTTCGCCAAACCAATGTTGGAAACTCCAATTTTCGGGACTTTCTCAACCATCTTACGGGTCTTTATAGGTCTGATGCGCTCTTAATTGGGTCAAACAAGCAGCAAGGAACTGCCTCACTTGCATCACTTGATAAAAGCCGCTCACCACGCCAAGAGTTCGTTGGCAGCATCTCCAGTTATATACGGCCGAATGCATTATTGTGAAAGTCTCAGGCATGAGCTAAGGGTGATTACTCAGCAGTCGCATCCGTTAGCATTTGAACATGGGTCGAACATATACGGGGCATCGGTCAATGATCGATCAAAACATCTCACGAGCTTATTTGCCTAACATAATTTGAAGCTACGCTGCACGATGAAGTCGTGAAGTCTCTGTCACGCAGCCTCGACATCCGACATGCCCCCAGAAACTCATTCGATCAACACAGCCCGCGCAGCAGTTCCCATTTAGACTTTGCTGTTTCCGAAGCCCCGAAATAACTGTCATGCAGATCAATGGGGCTGTAATTAGCGAAGCGGGGGCCACCCCAGCAGCTAACGAAGCTTGCGAAGTTCTCTGCATATGCCAATTTGTTTCAAACGCGGCAGATGCTTAGATAGCGCCTAGATAAAACCTTACGCCCCCAAGCTCCAAGCTACAGCACATTAATCCGGCTAAGCCATGCGCTGGCCCAAAGAGGTCAGACTCAGCGCCCAAAAATCGGTGAGAAGCCCGACGATCTTGAATTCATGACCAATTAGCAACGCGATTGTGCTTACTGCCTCGCTAGCTTCGTCCTTCATTATTCGTATTTTGTTGGTTATTACCAAATCGCACCGCTTGTTGACACTATCACAGACGTCATTGCGTACCGTGCCACGCTCGCTTTGGAAAGTCGCTAGGCCCCTTTCTTCAGGTGATACTTTAGTGCTCACGCCGTGTCATCCGGGCTGAAAGCTTGTTGGGTGACAATGCACCTCGAAGGGCCTGCATTGCCTGGCCCCCAATGCGACATGCCGCATCATCCTGAAGTATGTATATATAGCGATTGAACTTTACCTCTGGTCTCGTTCTCATGATCTGAGGCAGCGTCTGCAAAATGATGTTCAATATCCTCGCTGTGTTGCCATTGTTGGCTTTGGCAGCTGCCAAATGCAAGGTGCACGACCAGACGTTTACGCCGGATTATGTGCTTGAGGCTACGCTAGAGGACATCAAAGTCAATTGCAAATCTCGTCAATCGGTCGTTTTTAACGGAACCTTTCCTGGACCTACACTTCACCTCAAAGAAGAACAAACAGTTTGGATCCGTGTCTACAATCGCGTTCCAGACCAGAACCTCACTGTCGTAGGTCCGCTTGCACCAAATGATGAAACGTCAGCTGACAGTGACAGCACTGGCATGGAATAAGCCAACGAGCCGCACCCTTTTCCGACGGTACACCTCTCGTCAGCCAATGGCCCATTCCCGCGAATAACTTCTTCGATTATGAAGTTCGGCCTCAGCGTGGAGATGCGGGAACGTACTTTTATCACTCGCACGTTGGACTCCAGAGCTTGACGGCGCATGGAGTGCTGATCGTCAAGGATGCCGATAAACCCGAATACAAGTACGATGGAGATCTCGCGCTTATTGTCGCTGATAACTACGATGCATCAGATGAGACAATTGAGGCAGGACTCCTTGGAGATCCGTTCAAGTGGTCTGGTGAACCTCAAGCGATTACCATCAATGGCAACTCCGGAAATCAGAGTTTCGATACTGCTTCTGACATTAGCTGCACGCCTCATGTCATCCAAGTTGATCCTGGTAAAACGTATCGCATGCGATTTATTGGCGCAACTGCTTTGTCAATGATCAAGCTTGGAATTGATGGTCACGACAAGCTGACTGTCATTGAAGCTGATGGTTCATACACCAAGCCCGCCAAGGTGGATCATGTCCAAGTTTCATCCGGCCAACGCTTCAGCTATCTCCTCAAGACAAAGCCTGCAAAGGATGTTTGCCGTGGAGATGATTCGCAGTTTTGGGTTCGATATGAAAGCCGTGATCGACCGAAGCAGATCAGCGGTTACGCTATCCTGAGGTACAAATGTCCCAAGGGACCAAAGCTACCAAGAACTCTGCCACCCTCATCACCTGTCGTCTTGCCGAACAAGACTTACGACTACCTCGAGTACAAGCTCGAGGGGCTTTCGGAGTATAACAACAAGGCATTCCCTCGTTTGAGCGAGGTTACCAGGACAGTGACCATTCAGATCAATCAGGTCCTGACCACTGGACAGTATGAGAATGGAACATTGAACGGCACAGTTGCCTGGGCGTGAGTACACTCTTGCATGTCTCCCTATATCTTACTGACCAATTCATCCAGTCAAAACGGTCTCCCATGGAAGGAGAGTGTCCAGGCAGACCGCAACCAAGTTCCGTATCTCATCCAAGTCTACGAAACTGGCCAGACACCCAACTACACCCTTGCACTAGAGCACGGCGGTTTTGACCCCAACACAAAAGCCTTCCCAGCCAAGGTCGGCGAAGTTTTGGATATTGTATGGCAGAACAACAACGGCCCTACAGGTGGCTGGGACTTTCACCCAATGCATGTGCACGGCTACCATGTCTATGACCTGGGCTCAGGAAATGGCACCTACGATGCGCATGAGAACGAGAAGCACTTCAAGAACTTCACGCCTGTTCTTCGAGACTCGACTAATCTGTATCGCTATGCCGTCAAGGGCGTGCCCCACCATACAGCTGGTTGGAGAGCATGGAGAATCAAGATCACCGAGGAGAATATTGGAGCTTGGATGATGCATTGTCATATTCTTCAGCATCAGGTCATGGGTATGGCGACGGTTTGGGTGTTTGGCGATGCACAGGAGATCAAGGGCAAGTTCCCTGCTCTGCCTTACTCGCAGGGTTATCTGAACTATGGGGGTAGTGCGTACGGCACCGGTGCAAAGCCTCCAGTTGTGAACCACTATTATAGTGATGATGACTAGGGGATAGATTGGAAGATTGGTTTGTGATTCTTGTCACTAGTTGACACAATAGAGCTAGACTCAACTTTTTAGAGTACAATTGTGTAATAAGAGATGCATTCGTGCCTTATTTTTGTCGCTTCAGTATCAACAAATGGGCCTAATTGAGTTCAATCTACGTTCCAACATTTTATTCTTGTCTGGAAATTTTTGAATGTAGCAGTTGGGAAGGAGGATAAAAAAGTAGTACCGCCATGTGAATGGACGAACAGACTGACCGGCTCGCATTCGCTTGCTAGCTCGAAAGAGGAAACCGATATTTGAGTCTAACCTGAAATGCACTAGTACTCCTGAAGCTAGGCTTCGCTCCGCCTGAAGGGCTCTATTCTTTCGCACTCGCACAGCGATCTTTCAGCTATCAGTTTCACTATGGTTCAGTTACTCCGTCTCAGTCCATGTATGTAGAAATGTCAACCCGGACGCCGTCCCCGCGCAAGAGAATCCGAATAGTTACACTATATTAATACAAACATTTCTGCAAACTTGAAGATAGTCTCATCTAAACAGTACACTCAGAATCTTACGCACAATAATTGAACATTCAAGCTTTATCCTAGTCCAGGAATCAAAATGTCGACAGTCAATACACAAAAGACCATGTTGATCTTTGGCGCCACCGGCAAGCAAGGCGGTGCTGTTATTGACAACATTCTCTCAAACTCGCCTGACTCCTCCTTCAATATCATCGCAGTCACCCGCGACCCGACCAGCCGCAAAGCTCAGGCTCTTGCGGCCAATCCCAAGATATCTGTCGTTGAAGGGGACTTGGACAATGTCGGAGCAATCTTCGCCAAGGCTGGCCCAGTATGGGGTGTCTACAGCGTCCAGATCAATTCCGACGCAGAAGAACAGCAAGGCAAAGCTGTCATCAATGCTGCTGTACAGCATGGCGTCCAGCACTTTGTCTACTCCTCCGGAGACCGTGGAGG